TTTCCATGAAGAAATTTTTCCTAATTTCCAATCTAAACCTCCCCTGAATGCCAGACACACGGCACCCGGGAGTTTAGGCAGAGCCGTAGTAACTAAGGGAGCGGTGCAGGACCAGACCTCCACTTCTCTGGACTCTCAGCATCTCACGTGCTGCCACCCCACCCTGCCATCTCCTATACAAACTAAGGCTGCCCTAGGTTTACGGATGGGGAAATGGAAACTAAATCCAATGAATATCCTCCAGAGGCTCTCATCATCCATACTAAGTACAGTCTTGAAAACTCAAAGAAAGTTCATGATCATCTTCTTTTAAGCCAGGAGGTGTACTGGGGGTGAGCAAGAGAGAAGAAAAATCCCTCATGTTATAGGGTTCTTAATGCATGAGAAGATTAACATACAAGTTCTTCAGACAAGTCCATAGTCAAGATTTAATTTGGGGGTTGGCTGGTTTGGTTTAAGAGTTCTAGGTCTATGACACTACGACTCATCTTCTGTCCAAGTTAGAAAAGAGGTAAATCCCTTTATACACTCCTGTTGGTGACATCCCTGTTTTTACCAACAGGTGTTGAATCCTTAAAAGTGTTACTGTGTGTAGGAACCTATATGTTGTTACAGGGTTCCTTTACGACTGATATTTGACCCTGAAGAAAACAAGATTATCTAGAGGATAAAGCTTTAGGACAAAATGATACTTTTGCTTTTAGAGAACTTGGCAGGAAACAAGAGCAAAATAAATTCCTGAAGCGCCCCAGGTAGAGTGGTAATATCTTATTACCTGTCAGCTGAGCCTTTGATAAGCCTACGACAGGTTTCCATTTGTACATCCAGGCCCCTTTTCATGCTACACATTTCCATATATTCGTGAAGGTGGCGATTCATGTCACTCTTGGCCGTGGCCAATTCCAGCTGTAAGAAATACGAGAAAATAATCAGCCTAAGGTGAGTTGCTAGCAGCTTCTCCCAGCTTCACTTAATTTTACATACTGGTGGGATGCTAAAACTGCCCAGAGCTGATCCAAAACACCTGCACAATACGTGCTCAGCCTCAGCATTGTGAACCGCCAATGTATTCATCAGCTTATGAAGTGTATTTTAATCAGAGCTCTGCACTGTTTTTAAACAGCCCTCAAGTTTTTTTCTGCTCCTTGGCATCTTGTTTGTCAACATGCAGTAATTAATGAAAGCATATTCTAGGCAGGGCAAAGACTTTGAGAAGCTACAGCTGTTGTGTCTGGCAACCTCTGATGCCACGTCTTGTAGAGCATTTCCCAGCAGGATGGTAGATGTGCAAGACAAATAGGGGAAAAAGAATAATAATGCCTTTTTATTCTCTTTGCTCTGAAGGTTCTCTCTCCACCAGCTACAGATCTATGCTTACTCAATAACAGGGCTGTACAGAGAATGGTATTTCGAAAAAAAATCACAAGGGTACCTCAAAGGAAAACACTTTTGCTTTCTTAGATAGATGTTCCACCTTTCCTCTGTGGGTATACCAGACCAGAACACGGCGCGTGTTTTCATCCATTAGAAACAATTCACATTGTCACGAACAATTTCCTTACCTCTATCTGCCCTATTGTTTCTTGGTATTCCTTGTCTCTCGTTTTAAAGAAAGACTCCGTTTCATGGATCAAGTTTCCCAGGTTTTCTTCCTGCAGGGGAAAGGAGAACACAAAGAATTAGCAAGAAACTAACACAGAATTCAGCAGCAGACTAAAGATTTTCTTATTTAATCTCACTCAGAAGTGTCAGTTGCTATGCTCTTCCATGCAAAGAGTTTTTTTTAACACATTTTTACACAGGCAAGGAATAGTGTGCTGCTTAAAACTGGCACACCAGGAAACACAGTTTTGTACTATGACCATGGCTTTGTACACGCAAAGATAAAGTCTCTGATCAAGGAACCTACAGACCAAGGCTCCAGCAATTAAACAGACAGCTGATGCATGCCAAAGAACCAAAACTATGGATTTTCCTGAACCTTTCACAGTCTGATCACGCTTAGACAGATTGTAATTGCTCTCCAGTCATGAGAATTTTTTCTTGCATTGACCACACCACGACTTACAGCTTTGCACTGGAATTCTCATTTTCCAATTACATATTACTCTCGGGTCCTTTCAGTCTCCGTTACCTCACATGTATGCATGCTCTGCACGCATTGTTTCCTATTGAAATTCTTCGCTTCACTGCTAGATAAAGCAAGCTCGCTCCAGCACACTACCGATGAAAATATCGCACGTAAGAACACATGCAGTCCCAAAGGAAACATCCTGCCAGACAACAGCTCCCGTATCATCATTGCTGTGGATTGACAGTACAGTCTGGGCTACAAGACATATAGCACTATTTCATGCTGTCACAAAGAGACTAAAACAATGCCATTCTTCTCTCTCATGTTATTACCTACCTCCCTTTTCCAGAAAAAAAATTATCATCAATTTAATGCAACTGCACTGATGAGCATTAACGATGTTTCCATCCTTCGGCCACATCTGTGGCAGCTTTATCAGGATCATACGCGGTATCAACGTCAGGCTAACCAGCCTATAGTTACAAGAATCATTCCACTTATCCTTTTATACGCAGAAGCGCTTTAAGGAGGAAGGTCATAAAAGAAGGTGGCAAGGGCACCGCGTAAGAACTTGAAAGGAATAAAGCCAGTGGAAGGAAGATTCGGGCATGTAAAGCACTCTGTTAAAGACCAGGCACAGACAGAGCAGTCTTTATTCTGAATCTCCATCTACAAGACAAATCTACCCTTTCCTTGTATAATTTTCATTTAGAAGGATTTAAGCTTCTTAAAACCTTTAGAGTTTTCGCACGGAAGGTCTGAGTTCGGCAATATTCCTCTGATAGCTGCGCTTATACATGCACACATGGGTATATGCAAATAAATCTGTCACTAATTCCAGCACATGGCTACACATTATCACTCTGCCACTCTCCCTGCTCAAAAGACGACATGTAGCTAAGTACGCTGCTTTCTGCAGTCCTAGCACTTCTGAGTAATCTCCACAGTTTCAGAGCACGCCAGATGATACACAAATGGGAAGATGTAAATTAACACACCCCTGGCAGTCAACACAAGACGATATTCAGGAGACTGCTGCCTCAGCATCTTTACACTACAGCGACGATGGAAGAAGGCAGGATTATTTCTTACCTACTGCTGTCGTGCTACTCAGTAATGAAATAATAGCATCACGTTTAAGACTACCCGCACAAAGCCAGACCTTGTCATTTCAATCTCTCTTTAGGCCTGTTTAAAAAGGCTCAGGAGTCACTGAATGAGGCAGCATGCAGCCATTAGCTTACTTTGCGTGGGATCTTAAGGATTAAAAGCAAGCTGTTTATTATCCACCAATGCCAGGAGATTGACTATTGACCGGGAAGACGGAAGCACAAGATTCACAGGTTCAGAAGATCCCTGGGGCCTTACGCAGTCCTGCAACCACAGCTTCTTTGTTTGCGATGGGCTGGAGGTCCTTGAACATCTTCCACGGACCATAACGAGTTTATCTTTCTCCCCGCTAGAGTAACTGTGCAATATCATCCCCACGCTACGTGTACTATTTTGATAATTGAAGTGTGAATGATAATCTACAGAGGAAGTGAGATGTGTGGAAGATATAGGGCTTCAGATAAGCAGCTGCTTAGGGTGACAGATTGTGTGATGCTCCTATAACAGCTAGACACATCGGATCTTTTGACACTTGCTTGATACTTTGAAATACTCAGTTTGAAAGAGCAGAAGAAATGAAGTTTGGCAAATAAACTGATTGCACAGACTGAAAAGCAACCAGAGAGAGAAAGCACTAAGAGGATTTTAAAATCAAAGCAAGTTTGCGTGGCAAACTAGATCACCAGTCAAATATCCAAAGGCTCAAATGGCTAAAAGCGCAGCCGAGGGATACAGTTTCTGCAGAGGATAGTTTGAGAAAATAATAAAATAAACTCACCTCTCCTTGGAGGTCAATTGAAGGATTGCAGTTTGTGAAGTCTTCCCAAAGAAGCAACGTTTCCTCATTCTCCTCCCACGTTAAACTATCACAGTCGTCATCAAAATCGAATGTCTCACGACTGTTAAGATAACAGAAAAAAGCATTAGCGAAAACTACTCCAGCCCCACTCCCTCAGTTCTTCAATTAATCTTCTTCTAGAAAAAAGGGGCTATGAGAACTGAACGAAGGACACAATGCAGCAGCTGAAACTCCTCAGATTTTTTTACAAACAGGCTTTACCACTATCCAAGTCCCTCGCTCCTGGGCTCTTTGCCACCCCAAAGCAGGATAAAAGATCCTTGTTAGCATTCCTGGTTCAAGCACACAGTCCTAGCTCTGTCCTCCAGATGGTGCTGCACATTAGTTTCCTCTGTTTGCAAAACCACAAAAACGTTCTAAACTATTCTTTTTGTACATGGGAAAATAAGCCCAAACACTCTTTGAGGAATTTTACAAGAAACAGCCACTAGAAGACTCCCTGCTGATTTTCATGTTGAAGTTCAGCCAACATTTTCCCAGCAGCACTTAAAAACATTATTTTCAAAAGTAACAACTATGAAAAAACTGAAACCCAAAATGATGTGCAGGTGAGCATAAGTACTTATCGTTGACTTGAAAAACAAAGATACTACTACAGCCACTTCAGACTGAGAATAAACAGTGGCAAGAGTGGCCTTTAACACTGTTATTTGGTCAAGCCCCTTTAGTACGGTCAGTTGTGCAATAAAGGAAAGTTTCAGAAGTCCCTTTTGGTTTGAACAGCAGCAGAGCGAAACACTAGTAGCTGCTTCTTGTCCTTGTTAAGGAGGCCTGACAAAAATCCGAAATTGCTCCCAGAAGCAGTCTGCTAATTTCCGACTGATGCATTTTTGTTACTTTAGTTTACTTCCTTTTAAGCAGATAACATCTCAGTCCGGAAGCTGAGTCCAATACTGTCTTTAGGAAGCTGAAGGGCTTGGCAAAAGACAGGCTATTTGTCTATACTTAGCATGACTTTAAAAAAATAATTTTAAAAAAACCCAATAAACTTGGACATAGATGATTGTGCCTTTTGCAATTCACTTTCTTCAAATCAGTTTCTTTTTGCAAGAGCTATCCTTGTCAGAGAGCACAAAGGCTCCCAGTCCTGACTGCCACTTACTTCAGACATACACACTGTTCAAAGCTGACATTTTACTACTAGACACTTAAAGATTAAGTTCATTACAGGTAAAATGCAAGTTGCTTTGTTTCTGTTAATGAGGCAAGTTATTCAGCTATTTGTAAGCTATTGTTTTCTACTTCGCAAAGCCCCCAAACCCAGACATCCTTAGAAACGTACTGTCTCCAGTAAGCCACGAACACTGTTCTATATCAACCCAATTTCAATGTATCAACAAGATTCCTACAGCACTTGGTGCCACATGGAATAGGACCAGGAGATAAGAATTCCATTAGCAGCACCAATAAGAACCGGGTATCACAGGGTAGGTTTAAGAACAAAATTAAAAACTAAATGCATTACCCACCTAGTAGCTGAATTTTAACCTCTTGCTTTTCTAAGAACTCCACACACTATTTGCTGTCACACTGAATCTAGCAGTGGAGAAGTCAAAAATCTGTCTTTATTACACTTTATATTAATAAGGGTCTAAGGATATCTAAAACAAGAGTCCTAACAAGAGGAGTTACCTACAACTTTTGCAAAAAAACATGCCCTCCTATATGTGAAATTCAGGCAGAAAAAGAGACACGTGCCCTGAAAACAGAACTTTTGGCAACAGCTGACAACAGAAGAGGAGCTAGTGCTTCTTAGTCTCTTGTGTACTCCTACGTATTAAATACTGTCCTACATTGTGTGGGAAAGCACTGGGAATTCTTCCCTCTGCAGTCACTGCAGAAGTTGGCAGAAGACACCCATATTCAAATGCTAGGAAAGTCAGACCTATGGTGCTTGCTGGAGCTTTTGTCTGCCAAAAGAAAACAGCAGAGACCCTCAAAAGTCTCCCCAGGCTGTGGCCATCTCCATCATTTCTAGAACAGGAAAAGAGAACAGCAGGGCGCATCGCCAGCCAGCTTCCTGAACC